GGACATGAATTTAGCCAGCGTTCCACCAAGAACTTCAAAATCGCCCGAAACCAATGATGAAACCACGGATTGAGAAATGCGTTTTAAGTCTGGTTCCGGGTTTAGCATTACATGCTATAGAACCACAAGGTGGGAGTCCGCGACACGGTGTATGTTTGTTGTTTCATTATGGAGGAAGGAAACAGACTGCCGCTGTATATAAACGTACATTATTCGCGAACATTAACGTGACGTGAACAAAAACTGGCAACGCGAACGGCGCAGCGTAAGTCATTGCAAATATTTTTCGCAATTAAGTTTTGCTTTTATTTTGGGACTCGAGTCTTATTAGCCTTCCTCGAGTCGAGTCGAGTCATTCTGATGAGGGACTCGAGTCGAGTCGAGTCATTTGCTCACAGTGACTCGAGTCGAGTCGAGTCATTTACCCGGCGGGACTCGAGTCGAGTCAAGTCGCCAAAAAATGTGACTCGAGTCGGACTCGAGTCGAGTCATCGACTCGAGTCATTACAACTCTGCTTCATGTACGTAGGACTGCTAAAGATGTTGAAATTGTGTACATGGACATGTACATGTATACTACATGACTTGTATTTTCATGTATAGCAACCTATTTTTACCTGTATTTTACCTCTGGCTCTATTTTCTAAGAATATATTTTTCATTTTTTTAATATTTTTTTCCTATTTTTTTTTGGGTGGCTAAATACAACTGATTTTTAAAAAAAATGTATTTTAAATATGAAAGAAATATATTTTTCTCTATTTTATTTGACCTGGGATGCTATGACTGTGCATGCTTGTGCTCAGCCAAATATAGCTTGAAGGCACATGAATGTTACTCATAATAGTCCTGGAAAATCACTAACGATGTGGTGCACTTGTCACTCCATTAAAGTGATTTTAATGCATTTTAACCCCAGATACTTGCCCCCATTGCACACATCTTCCCTGCACTTCACAAATGGCTCGCAGAATGCAACTGACAAAATTCAAACTTGCCACTCACACAGGATGTTTCTTATCTGGTATGCAAATTAAGTGCTTGTCATTCCGATTGTGTTGTACTGAGCACATACTGTCCACAAAATAGGAAATAAATAATCCATTGATTTCAGATATTATTCGAAGTCCCACATAATAGGAAATAAATAGGCCATGGTTCTCATAACCGTGTCTTAGTGTCCAGAAAATGGCCACAAAATAGTCCATGGACCCTAATAAAATATCCAGGTCTCCAAAAAATAGTCAAAAAATAGTTTGTATTAAAAAAAATATAAATAAAGTAGAGTGGCAAAAAAACAGGGATAAAATAGTGCATCTGCGTCTACTTATTTTGTCCTATTTTCTAGGAGAAAATAGCTTTTAAATGCATTTAAAATAGGAATAACAGGATTTTGCCAGAGATTTTCTATGAGGGATATGTGTGGTTGAATTTGAACCAAACTGTTTTAATAACTCGATGGTATGTACATGTAGATGTTAAATGTTTTGACTCTGTGTTGTCACAGAAGGCTGTCCATGGTAAATAGACTTTTATTTTTGTGGGGATCTGCATCTTGTAGCCCATACGTTCAACAGGTCAATTCGCCTTGTAGCATAGCACCGAGCAGTTTGTTTACTGCATACTTCATAGTGTTGCCGCGCCTGTAGGGAAAGTAGTTATTGTACCACTTTTTCCAATAATAATAGGTTACACACATTTGGGTAGGGATAACCATCCAGAATTGTTTTATAAATTATATTGAATTTTTTTTCCTAATATTGATTCGGTGACTTTAGTTAAGTAATGATTATCGTACATTTTACTGCGCACGGATATATAAACTAGCGTACCGTGTTATTTGGTTCCGCGGGAGCTTGTCATGTCCTCTTTTTCCATGATGGTTGAAGCTGCATGAACAGAGTACTTTTTCTGGCAGCAAACGACACTCAAAACCCAAGCCTGGAGACTCCAGCCTGGTCTTGGTGATCAGGAGGAACTCCTGCCCACCCCTTGGTGTCCGGGTGAGTAGGATTTCAGTGTATTTCATATGTCTTTGCGACAGTATTTTACGGTTTTTGACGCTATTGTGTGTGACTTTTTGACATGCAGTGATTGCACTCCGTAACGTGTTGTGTACGTACGTGCTGTCTGTAGCCCAGGTTGGACGAAGCCTTCATTGCATTACGACTGACGTCCAGGATGAGAGTTCTCTACGTAATACCACCCAAAATTTGGACCAGATTAAAGATTGGTCATACTTCTCTCTATTGTAAGATACGTACTTACATCGTCGATACATCACGCAAAAACAAATGCACATATGTACGTACACGTACAATGTTTAGCGACACCCATCTGTTAGAAGGTCTAAAATTATCCGTCAATTTCGTACGATGTAAAAGTAGTATTAACATCAAAATGTGCAGTGTCCCTACGCTAATATCTCAGTATAAAAAATATCACCTTTACTCAGCTGGTTATATCGTGATGGTCGGCGATGTTGGTCGATGTGTAGGACAAAAATTTATGGAGAACGCAACGCCATATTGGAGCTCGGACGGAAAAAAAATCTAGTGCGCGCGCGCGGCGCGCTGAACTCACTATCCAATCAAAATGCTCAGTCGCCTAATACATTACTGCGCATGCGTCTATGCAGAAAAGCTCACAACACTTTTAAAATGTGAAAAGTCACATCTTGAATTGGTTAACTTTAGCATTACTAAGAGTTGGAATAACCTTTTGCAACATTTGAAATGCGGTTGTTTTGGTAGTAACACTTCGAAAATGTTAAAATTCAACACTTCAGTTTTTAGAGTGTAGGGAGATGGGGGTGGGTCATCAAAATTGATATATTACATCACAAACATCACAGCAAAACTGTAGCTTGACTTTCTTTCGAGATTTGCCCTCTTTAGCTTGATCCATGATTTTTTAGTCGTCGCTAAGAATCAGCTCAATTCGTAACTGCCTGCGAGCGAGCACGTGCGTGTGTTTTGCACAGCTGTAGCTGTCAACCGCCATGAAGTGACCTCGCGCGGCCGGCATGACAGAATATACAGTCTTTTACCATGGGTTACAGAACCGGATTTTAGCAGCGGTGTTTATTATTTCCATTCTCCATTTTTCTTCTTCCCCCTTCCTTTCCCCTTCCTTCTCCATTCTTCATTTTCTTTTTTGCCGACGCCACCATGATTTTGCCGACAAAACAGACTAATGGGGGAGTGACACCCCCCCTTCGTAGCGACGCCCATGAGTAGGTGCTCTCAATCAATTTTAACAATAAAATGCTTACTTCTGTCTCCCAAATTTCGAAAAGGGTTGGGGTCAGGGAGTCGTCAATGAAGGGGGGGGGGGGCTCCCCCATTACGCCACTTTAAAATGAAATTCGGCAGGCCAAAACTTGAATTGACTTTTCGGTATCTATTAGGGCAATCTCTTCTTGAAATTTGGAACAGTTTTGAGGGGAGTAACCACTCAGTATTTTAATGACAAAGATTACAACAGTATCGATGACCAATGACGCTCTTAAATTTACCATTTTTTTTTTTTTTTAATTGAAAAGAAGCAAGGATCCTTGCCCAGACAAAGAGTAGGATTTCGCTCAGGTGTCGGAAATACATGCCTTTCAGTATATGGTCATGCATTTTGTTTTGTAATTAGTTAACATATTTCCCGAAGGTTGATTGTGGTTGAATGTTTGCGAGATAGCTGGAGTGCCAATTAACACATTGCCAGCAGAATATGCCTGTTAACGAAATGTCAGGGTCCTCGTCAATTCTTACTAGACTATAAAACCGGGAAAACCGGGCCCACTTGAAACGTATGGCAGTAAAGGCAAAAATTGCAAAAAGAGCAAAATTAATAATCCTTTAAATTTGTGACCGATTCTTCAGATATTGTAGTTTTTTTTGTTATTTCTCCAGTAGGTGTCGCCCGACTGTTCCGTCTATTTTTTTTTACAAGTAAAGCATAAGGCAGTATAGTAGTTAGTGCCTCGTTCAACAATGCAGACCAGGAGGAGATATCATCAAGAATGGCGCATTTTCTTTCTGATCATCTTGGCGAATGGTGCATTGTGCGATGGTAAGTTCACGTTTATTTAATTCGTCAACGTCGTTTTTCTTCCTTTAGTAGAATATTTACCGAAGACCCAGGCTCACCATCACCAACTTTGACCTCATTAATTGCAGCCTCAGGCCACGAAAAATATTGCCGCGCCACTTTTGTCCGCTCCAGCGTCACTGATGCATCGTTTGTAGATAGTCCAACATCTACGATGTTATCTCGGTTGGAGACTACTCGATCACGAATGTCTACAAGCCTCCTTTCTATGTTACCTTACCCAGCCATTTATGTGGGCGACTTCAATAGCCATCACGCCATCTGGTGATACAATAGAAATGACAGGAATGGCGAATGTGTCACGGAATAGTCCAACCACGCACACACCCACCTACGGTGCTGGACATGAACAACACGGGACTATCAGATCGGTTCGCTGGGTAACGCAGCACTCTCCAGACCTCTGTTGGGTCTCCTCGAAGGACGGATGTCTCCTTCCAGCCAAATGTCCTTCCTGGGTTCCCACGCGTCCATCACATACCCATCGTACGTGTACGCAATCGACATCGGAATCTGACTGCCCATCATCAAATCCGTCCAGAAACCAAGATGGAACGTCCGAAAAGCCAACTGGACAAGCTTCACCAGTGACCTGGAGTGAAGCATTTTCTGCATCCCCCAGAACATTCCAATCAACAAAGCCTATGACCGCTTCACAAAAGCTGCGAAACGTCATACTCCCCACGGCTTCAGACCGACCTATACACCTGGCCTCAATATGATGAAGAACGCCGACAACATCTGACGGAGTACAGTACGTAGATACCGGAAACGCTGAGATCTCCGATAACTCATTCCGGCCCTCAATGATGCCAGACGTAGTCGCTGGGCATGGGAAGAAACGACAAGCAGTGTAGACTTCACACATTATACATCCGCAAAAGCTGTAAACTCTTATGCTAACTCGGTGTGGGACAACAGCCAATCCCAACCTCCAGCAGACCCAGCGTCCACCCAAGAAAGAAAGAAATCAAGAAACAGGTTCATCAAGCATGAAAACAGCTTAAACTCGTATGACCTAGTCTCCCTCATCCTTCACACCACTCGAAGTCACTAGCGCAGTTAGGAATTTGGAAACAGGTAAGGCGCTGGATACGACCAGATGTATATAGGGCCTACCCATAATTCATCAAGAACTTGGGACACCAAGCCATCAACTTACTAACCAAATTCCTCAGCCGGGTGATCATTGCCATACCCAAGCCTGGGAAAGACCCGAAGCTAGGAGCCAGTTAATACAGACTGATCTAGCTCCTCTCCATCTGCTACAAGCTCCTTGAAACAGTGATCCTCAACCACATCGCTCCACTAATTCTTGTCGATGTTTTTTTTCTCCCCTGATCGAGCAGGATTCAGGAGCGGCCACAGCACGGCAGATCAGGTGCTGGCACTTACTACATATAATTATAGAGAGCGACTACCAACCAAAACTGAAAATCGGTGCGATCTTTTTAGACCTCACCGCAACATACGATAATGTGGCACAATGGGCCTGCGCACCAAAATGTCTGTCTCACTTGCTGTCTCCCTGGACATGTCAGATAATCGAAGTCCTCCATGCAACAGGCGATTCGGGGTGCACATTGGCGATAAAAACCTGCTCATAAAGACATCAGAACAACGGACTCCCATGTAAGGATCGATACAGTACTGATCGCCGAGCCTACTGTTCGACTTCTGACATGCATCTCCCAAGCAACTCTTGGACCAAGTTTAACCCGTTCCGCTCTGGCGCTGGACCCTGCATGTCTACCTTCCATAAGTGGAGCAGCAGTGTGTCCCCTCTTAGTACCGGCAGTACTGTGGAAACGATAGAAAATATCTGCAAAAGTGCCTTCTTCGGCGGTTCCAATGCAGCCACTCGGCACCTCACCTTGCGGACGACCGGGCGGTGACGTGGCTTTGCGAGGCAGCCATCGGCGAATAATTTTCGGGGCAACAGCATTCAAGGAGAAAGACCAGTATTTAACTGATTGAGTTTGAAGGTTATAAACACAGAATTTTGTCAACACTGCACAAAGAAAGTCGGGAAACGTCGAAGCACTGTGCCCAGATGAATCGGATGAATCTATTTGCGGTATAGGCATCATTTGGATTCATGAATCACTTTGCAACTGACTTGTTTACATAAAAAAAACCCACTGCGGTGAAATCTCCACCATCATGCAATGTGACCAATGGCCAGTCTTTCGAGCCTCAAGTTATATTCAAACTTATGATGAGCTAGCTACGAACCAGACATCAACTTTTCGCTCAGCAGCGTACAGTACATCACCGCCTAGCCGCAGGCCGGATACCGCATCAGAATCACCTTGAATCCATGTTATCCAAAGACAATGTTTTATAATTCAGGCTTGTGCACATTCTGATTAAATTTAGTTTTTTTTTCTGTCCCTTGAGCAAAACCACTGGCATTCCTGAAATTAAACATTGTTTTGGTTTTACAAGAAACCTATTATTTTTGTTGATTTTTCATAAACTGTTTTATTTTCTTCCGCAGTTCCATGCGGAAAAAGCAACACCACTCTCAGCAACTCAACACAGACTTCAGAAACACTGACTTCGCCTTATTACCCAAACAACTATCCCGACTATTCCCGGTGCATTTGGTTCATCACAGTTGATAAAGGCTCTGCGATTGCCTTCCGTTTCTCCGTGTTTAATACGGAGCGATTTTACGACACGTTGACCATTGGCAACGGCCACGAGTCCTCCGATGGTGACTCAGTTATTGGTCTTTGGAGCGGTTTCCTGACGAATCTATCCGTCGTTTCCAATAACCACACGGCATGGATGAAGTTTACCAGCGATTATTCGGTAACCGAGGTCGGATTCGAGGTAAAGATCACTCAAGAAAGACCTGAAGGTAAGTAGCAACTTGAAAAGATAATGTAATGTCCCCTGCAGTTGTTGTGCAGCTGATTTTACGGAAGAGTGCATACATGTAACTTAGATTTACACAACTACATGTAATTACCTCAAATTAGGTTTTGCCCTTCACCGACGTTTTTTAACTGATCCCGTTAGCTCGGTGGTCGAGTGGTAAGACATCTGCACTAGAAAGCAGGAGGTCGTGGGTTCGAGTCCCACCCGAGTGATTTTTTCCAACTTTCACTCGGGAGGTAACACACTGAGTATACAGTGTTTAAAAAACGTCGGTGAAGGGCAAAACCTAATTTGATTTATATCACCCCGACGCAAAAATTCCATCTTATAATACATGTAATTACCTTTGCGTAATATATAATTACGAATGATTTCATGAAAATTGGTATGCTGTTTAACGTTTTCAATATTTCAAACACTTTGGACAAGGATGATCACTGCTTTTAAGACATCAATCGCGAAACAGTTTTTGGATCAGCTATGCTTGCCTTTTTGGGAAAAAAAATTGTGTGCTTCTTCAGAAGCAGGCGGTCACACTCACATTTCTGTCAAGGACAAAATAATACTTACTCATGTACATTCAAGACGTTACTTTTCTTATACGTACACATTAATAAGTTTGGCAGTGACCAATGAATTAAGACTATACAGACTGATAGGCCTAAATAGGGGGTGTGTTTTTAATTGTCCATATTCCAAAGTCATAATTTGTTGCGTAAATTGCAAACTTATGCAACGCACACGTTATTATTATTATTATTATTATTATTATTTATTCGGCCAACAAATGAACAAATTTACAATGACATATTTCGGATTCATGAGGCATCATTGCAACTGACTTAAACTCTGTCAAACTTAAAGGCATATGTGATCTTTTCAATTTATCCCAAAAGTAGCGTGCCGAACTATTATCAAGACGCTAACACTTGCTGGACATAGCCTATGTAATTCTTTTTTTATTCCCCTGCCATCTTTGAAACAGATGACATGAAGCGTTATTCAAGCATCACATTATTGTTATCATCACTTTAGTTTTAAAATAGCACATGTAAAATATGTTACCCTAGCTAAATCTAAGTTACCCTCTCTTTCAAAAATTAACACATTTTCCAATTCAAAAATCATTCTTTTTGTGAAATCTTATGTAAGATTTGAGGCTTTGCATGGTGGAGATACTAAATAATGAAAGGTTTGCGGAAACACCATGTGCGAATAATTTCTCAACTAAGAGAATGGTTCTGAAAAGAACCAGAGGTATAAACTCGACGTTCCGGTCAGTATGCTCTGACCGTCATCACTCTCCTGAAGACGGTCAGAGCATACTGACCGGAACGTCGAGTTTATACCTCTGGTTCTTTTGAGAACCATTCTCTTAGTTGAGAAATTATTCGCACATGGTGTTTCCGCAAACCTTTCATTATTGTGAAATCTTGTTTTAATAAAAACACTTCGGTGAATTCTCCACTTTCATGCATTGTGACCAATGGCCAATTTTTCATTCTTCAAATCATGTTCAATCTTTCGAGGTAGCTACGAACCAGCCATGCATCAACTTTCCGTGCAGCAGCGTACAGTACATCCCCGCCTAGCCGCAGGCCGGATACCGCATCAGAATCACCTTGGATCCATGTTTTCCAAAGACAATGTTTTGTTCTTTGGGCTTGTGTACATTCTTATTAAATTTAGTCTTTTTCTGTCTTTTGAGCAAAACCACTGGCATTCCTGAAATTAAACTTATTGTTTGGTTTTACAAGAAACCTTGTATTTTTCTGATTTTTCGTTAACTGTTTTATTTTCTTCCGCAGTTCTATGTGGAAAAAGCAACATCATTCTCAGCAACTCAACACAGACTTCAGAAACACTGACTTCGCCTTATTACCCAAACAACTATCCCATCAATGCCCGGTGCATTTGGTACATCACAGTTGATGAAGGCTCCAAGATAGCCTTCCGTTTCTCAGTGTTCAAAACGTTCCGAACACGGGACACGTTGACCATTGGCAACGGCCACGAGTCCTCCGATAGTGACTCTGTTATTGGTCTTTTTAGCGGTTCCCTGACGAGTCTAGCCGTCGTTTCCAATAACCACACGGCATGGATGGAGTTTACCAGCGTTTTTGTTCTAACCACGATCGGATTCGAGGTAAATATCACACAAGAAAGTTCTGAAGGTAAGTAGCAACTTGAAAAGATTATGGAATGTCTCCTGAAGTTGTTGTGCAGCTGATTTTACGGAACAGTGCATACATGTAACTTATGTCGCTCACCGCAGATTTACACAACTAATTAGATTTGCATAATATATCATTACGAATGATTTCATGAAAATTGATATGCTGTTCAACGTTTTCAATATTTCAAACATCTTGGACAAGGATGATCACTGCTTTTAAGACATCAATCGCGAAACAGTTTTTGGATCAGCTATGCTTGCCTTTTTGGAAAAAAAAATTGTGTGCTTCTTCAGAAGCAGGCGGTCACACTCACATTTCTGTCAAGGACAAAATAATACTTACTCATGTACATTCAAGACGTTACTTTTCTTATACGTACACATTAATAAGTTTGGCAGTGACCAATGAATTTAGACTATACAGACTGATAGGCCTAAATAGAGGGTGTGTTTTTAATTGTCCATATTCCAAAGTCATAATTTGTTGCGTAAATTGCAAACTTATGCAACGCACACGTTATTATTATTATTGTTATTATTATTATTTATTCGGCCAACAAATGAACAAATTTACAATGACAAAGCAAACATTTATAATAAAGTAAACAAAAATTGGAAATTGAAAAAGTATGACCAGACGAGACTGAAGGGTGCGAGAAGGAATGGGGGGGGGGGGGGGGGGAGGGAAGGGAGGGTGGACAGTTTGACAGGGGAGAGGAGATCGAGGGACAGAAAACAAGGACATTAAAACATTCCAAACCGGCCAGGGTAAACAAAAGTGTAGCCCTAAGGCCTGCCTACCCATGCTCGAAATGTCTACACAAAAACTAAATAAAATCTATACAATATAAATATAAATATGCAAATGAAAAGTAAATGAACAAAAATAAAAACAGAGCAAAAATTTAGTTGGAACAAAATGGCCAGCAAATGTAATATAATCCTATATATCAACAACACAGACCAAACATCAAGGTGCAACGAAATTGAAATACATAGACTCAATGAAAGAAAGACATCACACGAATAACTGAGCATGTCAACAAACAAAGAAACAAAAATTAACAAATGCAATGATACAAACTGCCCAACAAATAAACAGGAAATGAGCAAACAAACAATACCCCAAATAAAAACAAACAAAAAACAAGCAAACAAGTACCCCATCAGACAGACACCCCAATAACCCCAAATAACCCTAACAAGCAAACAAAAAAACACACACACATCCCCACAACCCAACAAACAAACAAACACCCCAACAACCCCTACATGCCAACAAAACATAACAAACAAACTATCATTACAAAAAAATACCCAACAAACAAACGTGTTTGCAAAATGTGACGTAATTGCAATGCACAATATTTTGCTTGATAAGTTGCTGTCATCGTGCAAAGTTTAGAGAATCGATTGCAAACGTTACCTGATATTTATTCTGCTCTTTGCTGCATGCAGGTTCTTGTGGACAGGATGAATTTGCATGCCAGGATGTATCCTCTGGCTTGATTTGTTTGGCACGTGACGACACCTGTGATGGTGATTACTTTGCACATTGTCCAGATGGATCAGATGAATCTAACTGCCGTAAGTATATTTCGGATTCATGAAGCATCATTGCAACTGACTTAAACTCTGTTAAACTGAACGGCATGCGTGATTTTTTTCAATTTATCCCAAACGTAGCCTGCCGAGCTGTCATCAAGAAGCTAACACTTGCTCCACATATGTAATTTTTTTCTCTCCCACATCTTTGAAACAGATGACATTAAGCGTTATTCAAGCATCACATTATTGTTATCATCACTTTAGTTTTAAAGTAGCACATGTTAAATATGTTACCCTAGCTAAATCTAAGTTACCCTCTCTTTCGAAATTTAACACATTTTCTATTTCAAGAATCATTCCTTTTGTGAAATCTTGTTTTAAACAAGAATCATTCTTTTGTGAAATCTTGTTTTAATAAAAACACTTCGGTAAATTCTCCACTTTCATGCAATGTGACCAATGGCATTTTCTTTTTCATTCTACCAATCACGTTCAAACTTACGAGGTAGCTACGAACCAGACATCAACGTTCTGTTCAGCAGTGTACAGTACATCACCGCCTAGTCGCAGGCCGGATACCGCATCGGAATAACGTTGGATCCATGTTATCCAAAGACAATATTTTATAATTCAGGCTTGTGTACATTCTGATTAAATTTAGTTTTTTTTTCTGTCCCTTGAGCAAAACCACTGGCATTCCTGAAATTAAACATTGTTTTGGTTTTACAAGAAATCTAGTATTTTTCTGATTTTTCATTAACTGTTTTATTTTCTTCTGCAGTTGCATGCGGAAAAAGCAACATCACTCTCAGCAACTCAACACAGACTTCAGAAACACTGACTTTGCCTCAATACCTAAACAACTATCCCAACGATGCCCGGTGCATTTGGTTTATCACAGTTGATGAAGGCTCCACGATAGCCTTCCGTTTCTCCGTGTTCAAAATTGTGCGAACATACATCACGTTGACCATTGGCAACGGCCACGAGTCCTCCGATAGTGACTCTGTTATTGTTCGTTTTAGAGGTTTCCTGAAGAGTCTAGCCGTCGTTTCCAATAACCACACGGCATGGATGGAGCTTACCAGCGTTTTTGTTCTAACCACGATCGAATTCGAGGTAAAGATCACACAAGAAAGTTCTGAAGGTAAGTAGCAACTTAGATAATGGAATGTCTCCAGAAGTTGTTGTGCTGCTGATTTTACGGAACAGTGCATACATGTAACTTATTTCGCTCGACGCAGATTTACACAACTAATTAGATTTGCAGAATATATCATTACGAATGATTTCATGAAAATTGGTATGCTGTTCAACGTTTTCAATATTTCAAACATCTTGGACAAGGATGATCACTGCTTTTAAGACATCAATCGCGAAACAGTTTTTGGATCAGCTATGCTTGCCTTTTTGGAAAAAAAAAATTGTGTGCTTCTTCAGAAGCAGGCGGTCACACTCAAATTTCCGTCAAGGACAAAATAATACTTACTCATGTACATTCAAGACGTTACTTCTCTTATACGGACACATAAATAAGTTTGGCAGTGACCAATGAATTTAGACTATACAGACTGATAGGCCTAAATAGGGGTGTGTTTTTAATTGTCCATATTCCAAAGTCATAATTTGTTGCGTAAATTGCAAACTTATGCAACGCACACGTTATTATTATTATTGTTATTATTATTATTTATTCGGCCAACAAATGAACAAATTTACAATGACATATTTCGGATTCATGAGGCATCATTGCAACTGACTTAAACTCTGTCAAACTTAAAGGCATATGTGATCTTTTCAATTTATCCCAAAAGTAGCGTGCCGAACTATTATCAAGACGCTAACACTTGCTGGACATAGCCTATGTAATTCTTTTTTTATTCCCCTGCCATCTTTGAAACAGATGACATGAAGCGTTATTCAAGCATCACATTATTGTTATCATCACTTTAGTTTTAAAATAGCACATGTAAAATATGTTACCCTAGCTAAATCTAAGTTACCCTCTCTTTCAAAAATTAACACATTTTCGAATTCAAAAATCATTCTTTTTGTGAAATCTTAAGTAAGATTTGAGGCTTTGCATGGTGGAGATACTAAATAATGAAAGGTTTGCGGAAACACCATGTGCGAATAATTTCTCAACTAAGAGAATGGTTCTGAAAAGAACCAGAGGTATAAACTCGACGTTCCGGTCAGTATGCTCTGACCGTCATCACTCTCCTGAAGACGGTCAGAGCATACTGACCGGAACGTCGAGTTTATACCTCTGGTTCTTTTGAGAACCATTCTCTTAGTTGAGAAATTATTCGCACATGGTGTTTCCGCAAACCTTTCATTATTGTGAAATCTTGTTTTAATAAAAACACTTCGGTGAATTCTCCACTTTCATGCAATGTGACCAATGGCCAATTTTTCATTCTTCAAATCATGTTCAATCTTTCGAGGTAGCTACGAACCAGACATGCATCAACTTTTCGTGCAGCAGCGTACAGTACATCCCCGCCTAGCCGCAGGCCGGATACCGCATCAGAATCACCTTGGATCCATGTTTTCCAAAGACAATGTTTTGTTCTTTGGGCTTGTGTACATTCTAATTAAATTTAGTCTTTTTCTGTCTTTTGAGCAAAACCACTGGCATTCCTGAAATTAGAGTTATGGTTTGGTTTTACAAGAAACTTTAGTCCTTCTTGTGATTTTTCATTCACATTCTTATTTATCTTCTACAGGTTTTTGCGGGAAAAGAAACATCACTCTCAACAACTCAACCCAGACTTCAGAAACACTGACTTCGCCTTATTACCCAAACAACTATCCCAACAATGCCCGGTGCATTTGGTTCATCACAGTTGATGAAGGCTCCACGATAGCCTTCCGTTTCTCCGTGTTCAATACGATTCGAACATACGACACGTTGACCATTGGCAACGGCCACGAGTCCTCCGATGGTGACTCTGTTATTGGTCGGTTTAGCAGTTTCCTGAAGAGTCTAGCCGTCGTTTCCAATAACCACACGGCATGGATGGAGTTTACCAGCAATTTTTTTCGAACCGCGATCGGATTCAAGGTAAAGATCACACAAGAAAGTTCTGAAGGTAAGTAGCAACTTAGATAATGGAATGTCTCCAGAAGTTGTTGTGCAGTTGATTTTACGGAAGAGTGCATTCATGTAACTTATGTCGCTCGACGCAGATTTACACAACTAATTAGATTTGCATAATATATCATTACGAATGATTTCATGAAAATTGGTATGCTGTTCAACGTTTTCAATATTTCAAACATCTTGGACAAGGATGATCACTGCTTTTAAGACACCAATCGCGAAACAGTTTTTGGATCAGCTATGCTTGCTTTTTTGGAAAAAAAAATTGTGTGCTTCTTCAGAAGCAGGCGGTCACACTTACATTTCTGTCAAGGACAAAATAATACTTACTCATGTACATTCAAGACGTTACTTTTCTTATACGTACACATTAATAAGTTTGGCAGTGACCAATGAATTAAGACTATACAGACTGATAGGCCTAAATAGGGGGTGTGTTTTTAATTGTCCATATTCCAAAGTCATAATTTGTTGCGTAAATTGCAAACTTATGCAACGCACTCGTTATTATTATTATTATTATTATTATTATTTATTCGGCCAACAAATGAACAAATTTACAATGGCAAAGCAAACATTTATGAAAAAGTAAACAAAAATTGGAAATTGAAAAAGTATGAACAGACGAGACTGAAGAGTGCGAGAAGGAATGGGTCGGGGGGGGGGGAGGGAAGGGAGGGTGGACAGTTTGACAGGGGAGAGGAGATCGAGGGACAGAAAACAAAAACATTAAAACATTCCAAACCGGCCAGGGTAAACAAACTGTGTACTTAAACACTGTAGCCCTAAGGCCTGCCTACCCATGCTCGAAATGTCTACACAAAAACTAAATAAAATCTATACAATATTCATATAAATATGTAAATGAAAAGTAAATGAACAAAAATAAAAACAGAGCAAAAATGTAGTTGGAACAAAATGGCAAGCAAATGTAATATAATCCTATATATCAACAACACAGACCAAACATCAAGGTGCAACGAAATTGAAATACATAGACTCAATGAAAGAAAGACATCACACGAATAACTGAGCATGTCAACAAACAAAGAAACAAAAATTAACATATGCAATGATACAAACTGCCCAACAAATAAACAGGAAATGAGCAAACAAACAATACCCCCAATAAAAACAAACAAACAAAAAACAAGCATACAAGTACCCCATCAGACAGACACCCCAATAACCCAAAATAACCCTAACAAGCAAACAAAAAAACACACACAAATCCCCACTGAACCCAACAAACAAACAAACACCCCAACACCCCCGACATGCCAACAAAACATAACAAACAAACTATAATTACAAAAAAAGACCCAACAAACAAATGTGTTTGCAAAATGTGACGGGCGTAATTGCAATGCACAATTTTTTGCTTGATAAGTTGCTGTCATCGTGCAAAGTTTGGAGAATCGATTGCAAACGTTACCTGTTATTTATTCTGCTCTTTGCTGCATGCAGGTTCTTGTGGACAAGATGAATTTGCATGCCAGGATGTATCCTCTGGCTTGATTTGTTTGGCACGTGACGACACCTGTGATGGTGATGGCTTTACACTGTGCCCAGATGGATCAGATGAATCTATCTGCCGTAAGCATATTTCGGATTCATGAAGCATCATTGCAACTGACCTAAACTCTGTCAACTTTAAAGGCATATGTGATCTTTTCAATTTATCCCAAAAGTAGCATGCCGAAGCTAACACTTGCTGAAAATAGCATATGTAATTCTTTTTTTACTCCCCTGCCATCTTTGAAACAGATGACATGAAGCGTTATTCAAGCATCACATTATTGTTATCATCACTTTAGTTTTAAAATAGCACATGTAAAATATGTTACCCTGGATAAATCTAAGTTACCCTCTCTTTTGAAAATTAACACATTTTCTATTTCAAAAATCATTCTTTTTGTGAAATCTTAAGTAAGATTTGAGGCTTCGCATGGTGGAGATACTAAATAATGAAAGGTTTGCGGAAACACCATGTGCGAATAATTTCTCAACTAAGAGAATGGTTCTGAAAAGATCCAGAGGTATAAACTCGACGTTCCGGTCAGTATGCTCTGACCGTCATCACTCTCCTGAAGACGGTCAGAGCATACTGACCGGAACGTCGAGTTTATACCTCTGGTTCTTTTCAGAACCATTCTCTTAGTTGAGAAATTATTCGCACATGGTGTTTCCGCAAACCTTTCATTATTGTGAAATGTTGTTTTAATAAAAACACTTCGGTGAATTCTCCACTTTCATGCATTGTGACCAATGGCCAATTTTTCATTCTTCAAATCATGTTCAATCTTTCGATGTAGCTACGAACCAGACATGCATCAATTTTCCGTGCAGCAGCGTACAGTACATCACCGCCTAGTCGCAGGCCGGATACCGCATCAGAATCACCTTGGATCCATGTTATCCAAAGACAATGTTGTATACTTCAGGCTTGTGTACATTCTGATTAAATTTAGTCTTTTTCTGTCCTTTGAGCAAAACCACTGGCATTCCTGAAATTAAATTTATTGTTTGGTTTTACAAGAAACCTTGTATTTTTCTGATTTTTATTAAACTGTTTTATTTTCTTCTGCAGTTTCATGCGGAAAAAGCAACATCACCCTCAGCAACTCAACACAGACTTCAGAAATACTGACTTCGCCTTATTTCCCATACGGCTATCCCAACAATGCCCGGTGCATTTGGTTCATCACAGTTGATGAAGGCTCCACGATAGCCTTCCGTTTCTCCGTATTCAACACGGAGCGAAGATGGGACACGTTGACTATTGGCAACGGCCACGAGTCCTCCGATGGTGACTCTGTTATTGGTCTTTTTAGCAGTTACCTGACGAGTCTAGCCGTCTTTTCCAATAACCACACGGCATGGATGGAGTTTACCAGCGATTCTTTGGTAACCGAGATCGGATTCGAGGTAAACATCACTCAAGAAAGATCTGAAGGTAAGTAGCAACTTAAAAAGATAATGGAATGTCTCCTGAAGTTGGTGTGCAGCTGATTTTACGGACAGGGCATACATGCAACTTATGTCGCTCGTCGCAGATTTAAACAACTACATGTAAATGATTTCATGAAAATTGATAGGCTGTTCAACGTTTTAAATATTATTTCAAACATCTTGGACAAGGATGATCGCTGCTTTTATGACATCGTCACGAAGCATTTGTTAAATCAGCTATGCTTGCATTTTTGAAAAAAAAAATGTGGCTTCTTCAGAAGCAGGCGGCCACTCTCAAATTTGTTTCAAGGATAAAATAAGAAATCAAATTAAGTTTTGCCTTCAACGACGTTTGAACACTGTATACTCTGTGTGTTACCTCCCGATTGAAAGTTGGAAACATTATTCGGGTGGGACTCGAGCCCGAGACCTCCTGCTTTCTAGTGCAGACGTCAGTCTTACCACTCGACCACCGAGATGATCGGTTGGCTGGTTCGAATCTGATGTACATAGCAGCGGGTACCGCATGAACTATCTTCGAATTTTGCGTCGGGGTGATACAAATCAAATCAGGTTTTGCCCTTCAACGACGTTTGGTTCGAGTCCCACCCGAGTAATTTTTCCAACTTTCACTCGGGAGGTAACACACTGAGTATACAGTGTTCAAACGTCGTTGAAGGGCATTACCTAATTTGATTTATATCACCCCGACGCAAAATTCCATCTTATGATAAAATAATATATATATACTTACTCATGTACGTTTAAGCCGTTAATTTTCTCACGTCACATTAACAAGTTGGCAGAGACCAAAGAATTTATACTCTATACAGACTAATAGGCCTAATTAGATTGTTTTTTTTTAATTGTACATATTCCAAAGTCATAATTTGTTGCGCAAATTTCAAACTTATGCAACGCACACGAGTTTGCCAAATGTGACGTTAATGAAATGCACAATATTTTGCTTGATAAGTTGCTGTTCACTGTGCCAAGTTTGGAGAATCGATTGCAAACGTTACCTGTTATTTATTCTGCTCTTTGCTGCATGCAGGTTCTTGTGGACAGGATGAATTTGCATGCCAGGATGAATCCTCTGGCTTGATTTGTTTGGCACTTAACGACACCTGTGATGGTGATGGCTTTACACTGTGCCCAGATGGATCAGATGAATCTAACTGCCGTAAGCATATTTCGGATTCATGAAGCAGCATTGCAACTGACTTAAACCCTGTTAAACTTAAAGGCATGCTTGATCTTTTCAATTTATTCCAAAAGTAGCATGCCAAACTATTATAAAGAAGCTAACACTTGCTCAACATAGCCTATGTAATTCTTTTTTATTCCCCTGCCATCTTTGAAACAGATGACATTAAGCGTTATTTAAGCATCACATTATTGTTATCATCACTTTAGTTTTAAAATAGCACATGTAAAATATGTTACCCTGGATAAATCTAAGTTACCCTCTCTTTTGAAAATTAACACATTTTCTATTTCAAAAATCATTCTTTTTGTGAAATCTTGTTTTAATAAAAACACTTCGGTGAATTCTCCACTTTCATGCAATGTGACCAATGGCCAATTTTTCATTCTTCAAATCATGTTCAATCTTTCGAGGTAGCTACGAACCAGACATCAACTTTCCGTTCAGCAGCGTACAGTACATCACCGCCTAGTCGCAGGCCGGATACCGCATCAGAATCACCTTGGATCCATGTTATCCGAAGACAATGTTTTATAATTCAGGCTTGAGAACATTCTGATTAAATTTAGTCTTTTTCTGTCCTTTGAGCAAAACCACTGGCATTCCTGAAATTAGAGTTATGGTTTGGTTTTACAAGAAACTTTAGTCCTTCTTGTGATTTTTCATTCACATTCTTATTTATCTTCTACAGGTTTTTGCGGGAAAAGAAACATCACTCTCAACAACTCAACCCAGACTTCAGAAACACTGACTTCGCCTTATTACCCAAACAACCATCCCAACAATGCCCGGTGCATTTGGTTCATCACAGTTGATGAAGGCTCCACGATAGCCTTCCGTTTCTCCGTGTTCAATACGATTCGAACATACGACACGTTGACCATTGGCAACGGCCACGAGTCCTCCGATGGTGACTCTGTTATTGGTCGGTTTAGCAGTTTCCTGAAGAGTCTAGCCGTCGTTTCCAATAACCACACGGCATGGATGGAGTTTACCAGCACCAGCAATTTTTTTCGAACCGCGATCGGATTCAAGGTAGAGATCACACAAGAAAGTTCTGAAGGTAAGTAGCAACTTAGATAATGGAATGTCTCCAGAAGTTGTTGTGTAGCTGATTTTACGGAAGAGTGCATACATGTAACTTATGTTGCTCGCCGCAGATTTACACAACTAATTAGACTTACGTAATGTATAATTACGAATGATTTCATGAAAATTGGTATGCTGTTCAACGTTTTCAATATTTCAAACATCTTGGACAAGGATGATCACTGCTTTTAAGACATCAATCGCGAAACAGTTTTTGGATCAGCTATGCTTGCCTTTTTGGAAAAAAGATTGTGTGCTTCTTCAGAAGCAGGCGGTCACACTCAAATTTCCGTCAAGGACAAAATAATACTTACTCATGTACATTCAAGACGTTACTTTTCTTATACGGACACATTAATAAGTTTGGCAGTGACCAATGAATTAAGACTATACAGACTGATAGGCCTAAATAGGGGGTGTGTTTTTAATTGTCCATATTCCAAAGTCATAATTTGTTGCGTAAATTGCAAACTTATGCAACGCACACGTTATTATTATTATTGTTATTATTATTATTATTATATATTCGGCCAACAAATGAACAAATTTACAATGGCAAAGCAAACATTTATAAAAAAGTAAACAAAAATTGGAAATTGAAAAAGTATGAACAGACGAGACTGAAGAGTGCGAGAAGGAATGGGTCGGGGGGGGGGGGGGGGAGGGAAGGGAGGGTGGACAGTTTGACAGGGGAGAGGAGATCGAGGGACAGAAAACAAAAACATTAAAACATTCCAAACCGGCCAGGGTAAACAAACTTTGTACTTAAACACTGTAGCCCTAAGGCCTGCCTACCCATGCTCGAAATGTCTACACAAAAACTAAATAAAATCTATACAATATAAATATCAATATGTAAATGAAAAGTAAATGAACAAAAATAAAAACAGAGCAAAAATTTAGTTGGAACAAAATGGCAAGCAAATGTAATATAATCCTATATATCAACAACACAGACCAAACATCAAGGTGCAACGAAATTGAAATACATAGACTCAATGAAAGAAAGACATCACACGAATAACTGAGCATGTCAACAAACAAAGAAACAAAAATTAACATATGCAATGATACAAACTGCCCAACAAATAAACAGGAAATGAGCAAACAAACAATACCCCAAATAAAAACAAACAAACAAAAAACAAGCATACAAGTACCCCATCAGACAGACACCCCAATAACCCAAAATAACCCTAACAAGCAAACAAAAAAACACACACATCCCCACTGAATCCAACAAACAAACAAACACCCCAACACCCCCGACATGCCAACAAAACATAACAAACAAACTATAATTACAAAAAAATACCCAACAAACAAATGTGTTTGCAAAATGTGACGGCGTAATTGCAATGCACAATATTTTGCTTGATAAGTTGCTGTCATCGTGCAAAGTTTTGAGAATCGATTGCAAACGTTACCTGATATTTATTCTGCTCTTTGCTGCATGCAGGTTCTAAGCCGTTAATTTTCTCACGTCACATTAACAAGTTGGCAGAAACCAAAGCATTTATACTCTATACAGACTAATAGGCCTAATTAGATTGTTTTTTTTTAATTGAACATATTCCAAAGTCATAATTTGTTGCGCAAATTGCAAACTTATGCAACGCACACGAGTTTGCCAAATGTGACATAAATGAAATGCACAATATTTTGCTTGATAAGTCACTGTTCACTGTGCCAAGTTTGGAGAATCGATTGCTGAACGTTACCTGTTCTTTATTTTGCTCTTTGCTGCATGCAGGTTCTTGTGGACAGGATGAATTTGCATGCCAGAATGTATCCTCTGGCTTGATTTGTTTGGCGCGTGACGACACCTGTGATGGTTTTACACTGTGCCCAGATGGATCAGATGAATCTAACTGCCGTAAGCATATTTCGGATTCATGAGGCATCATTGCAACTGACTTAAACTCTGTCAAACTTAAAGGCATATGTGATCTTTTCAATTTATCCCAAAAGTAGCATGCCGAACTAATATCAAGAAGCTAAAACTTGCTGAAAATAGCCTATGTAATTCTTTTTTATTCCCCTGCCATCTTTGAAACAGATGACATTAAGCGTTATTCAAGCATCACATTATTGTTATCATCACTTTCGTTTTAAAATAGCACATGTAAAATATGTTACCCTAGCTAAATCTAAGTTTCCAATTCAAAAATCATTCTTTTTGTGAAATCTTAAGTAAGATTTGAGGCTTTGCATGGTGGAGATACTAAATAATGAAAGGTTTGCGGAAACACCATGTGCGAATAATTTCTCAACTAAGAGAATGGTTCTGAAAAGAACCAGAGGTATAAACTCGACGTTCCGGTCAGTATGCTCTGACCGTCTTCACTCTCCTGAAGACGGTCAGAGCATACTTACCGGAACGTCGAGTTTATACCTCTGGTTCTTTTCAGAACCATTCTCTTAGTTGAGAAATTATTCGCACATGGTGTTTCCGCAAACCTTTCATTATTGTGAAATCTTGTTTTAATAAAAACACTTCGGTGAATTCTCCACTTTCATGCAATGTGCATGACCAATGGCCAATTTTTCATTCTTCAAATCATGTTCAATCTTTCGAGGTAGCTACGAACCAGCCATGCATCAACTTTTCGTGCAGCAGCGTACAGTACATCCCCGCCTAGCCGCAGGCCGGATACCGCATCAGAATCACCTTGGATCCATGTTTTCCAAAGACAATGTTTTGTTCTTTGGGCTCGTGTACATTCTTATTAAATTTAGTCTTTTTCTGTCTTTTGAGCAAAACCACTGGCATTCCTGAAATTAAACTTATTGTTTGGTTTTACAAGAAACCTTGTATTTTTCTGATTTACTGTTTTATTTTCTTCCGCAGTTCCATGCGGAAAAAGCAACATCACCCTCAGCAACTCAAAACAGACTTCAGAAATACTGACTTCGCCTTATTTCTCATACAACTATCCCAACAATGCCCGGTGCATTTGGTTCATCACAGTTGATGAAGGCTCCACGATAGCCTTCCGTTTCTTCGTGTTCAATACGGAGCGAACATACGACACGTTGACCATTGGCAACGGCCACGACTCCTCCGATAGTGACTCTGTTATTGGTCTTTTTAGCGGTTTCCTGATGAGTCTAACCGCCGTTTCCAATAACCACACGGCATGGATGGAGTTTACCAGCAATTCTTTGGTAACCAAGGCAGGATTTGTGGTAGTGATCACTCAAGAAAGCTATGAAGGTAAGTAGCAACTTGAAAAGATAATGGAATGTCTCCTGAAGTTGTTGTTCAGCTGATTTTACGGAACAGTGCATACATGTTACTTATGTCACTCACCGCAGATTTACACAACTAATTACATTTGCGCAATATATAATTACGAATGATTTCATGAAAATTGGTATAAATATGCTAGTATTCAACGTTTCAATAATAATTTCAAACATCTTGGACAAGGATGATCGCTGCTTTTAAGATATGGATACAGTTTATACTTCGAGACTTCACAAAATACTTCGAGATTGTGCTTATTTTGAATTAATTAATTTATTCTTTTTCTGTCCCTAGAGCAAAACCACTGGCATTCCTGATATTAAAGTTATGGCTTGGTTTTACAAGAAACGTTATACATGTAGTAGAGTCATTTTCCTGAAATCTGTGACCATGTTGCGGATACCTTTTTTCTTGATGGATTTGACAAATTGGACCAATTCAAAGGGAAAAAAAGCTCCTATACACCTCTTAAATGTGACGACAAACTTTTTATAGCATTTTTTTTTCAAAATGGCCGCTGACGCCATATTGAAATACATAACAAATGATATCTCGGGAACCAGATGAGCCATAACGATAAATGAAGTGTCGATTCCTACTATTTCTGGCATGACAAATCTGCTAAAATGGTATTCACTACGTTTCGGACCATCATGACCTCAGCATTCAGAATGGTGGCTGGTAGCCATCTTGAAAAACAGCATTTATTATATCTCTGGAACCAGAGGGGCAAGATAGACATATAAGATGTTATTTTCAATTAATTCTGGCATTAATCCCATTTAAATCCGCCAATATACCTAACTTATTTCGTAAATCACATATTAATGCTAAGTCCGATCATCTTGAAACTTGGTGGTAATGATGACGTCATCACCTGATTTTTATTATTTTTATTAATTTTTACATATTTCCTACCAGCAAAATATGACATAAAATGCAAGCTGATTGACTTCAAACTAGGTACAGACAAAGACTAAGGTTAAGTTGGCCCTAGAAAAGTGATGTTATTTATTATGACATCATCAATGGTCATGTGACGTCATCCTAAATGTGTATATTTTAATATTTTATATCTTGAAACTGTAAGCGCGATTGGGTTGGAATTTGGTATGAACATTATAGATAGGGACGTGTTGCAGGCAAAAATTGGAGTGGCGTCATTATGGCGTCATCATGGTTCATGAGACGTCATCTTAAAGGTGCATATTTTAAAGTCCTATTGTTTTGAGAACTTAGTCATGGAACCATGTTCTTGCATATACGTTTTCTGATTGAAAATGGACAAAACAAACCATAAACTCATAAAAAATATGATGCAGAAAAGTCCTATGTTCTGTTCATCAAACAGACATATAATTCTAGTTTACCCTTTTCTTATACTTATCCTAACTTTTTCTTGAATTCCTTACTTTTTCCTACTTTTTTTGTCCCATGACTTCGAAAAATGAAATCACATCGAGTATTTTTCATAACAGTGTTTCAAATTGTCATATGTAAATCACACAATGAAGGGTTCTACTTCCAAGAGCTTAGTTGAGGATGGAGCACAAGTGTTGTGAGTACAGAATATGCCAAATGAGGCTTATGATGCCGTGGATGGTGGATTGAGTATCAACGAAAACTACTGAAAGCCTTCACTTTTTCCTGATTTCATCCTCCAAAGTACTTGTCCCTTTTTTTGGAAATTTTGATCCTTCTGTTCTATTTTATTCAACTGCCGGGTCTGTTTGAAAGCCTGTTATGTACACTGTATAACGTCCGCTACCCAAATAGGCAAAGTCAAAACCACAATTTGTTGTGTCGGATCCAGACTTAGGCATATGCAACGCAACTATACGTTTGCGAATGTGACGTGAATGAAATGTACACTGTGAAATAGTGCTTAATGCGTTGCTGCTGTTTTGTAAAGTTTGAAGAATTTACTGCATAACTTAAAATTTGTATTTCTCTTTGCTCTGTTGCTGCAGTTTCTTGCACACAAAATGAATTTAAATGCAAGGATAACTCATCTGGCTTGATTTGTTTGGCACATGACGTCACCTGTGATCGCATTGCACTGTGCCCAGATGGATCAGATGAATTTTATTGCGGTAAGCATATAATATGGATTCATTAATCGTTTCGCAACTGCTTTCTGTTAAGAGCATGCAGGATCATTTGCAGTTATCTCAAAAATACAGAAGTATTATCAAAAAAACTTACTAAAGATCGTATACACTGGTACGTAACACCCCGTGAAATTATTCAATCCAGCTTGCTGTTATTTAGAAGAAATCAATTTTCAACAGTTGAAAGTTCTTTTGACGGTCTTTTGACGGTATCGTGTTTCGCCATCAAAAGGTTGTGCATGTTTTTTTTCACTGTTTTCTCAAAAAGTATTATTTCCACTGAGTTGAGACTTCACGTGGTAAAGTTTTGACCATTCTTCTTTGGAGTTTGAGTGGTATTATATATTATTAATGGAAATGACCAAAGCGCATCTAAATCAAATGATCATAATTCCTTTAAGAGGCCCATGCTGCATCATCTGGGCCCAATTTCTTGGCTCTGCTAACCACAGAAATCCGCGCTTACGATCACCATTTTGTGCTAACCGCGCTAGCAAGACAATTCTGTGCTAACCCTGTAGGTAAGAATCCTTAGTTACGGGATGTACGCATGTGCAGAAGCCAAAATTCATCGCTATGTAACGCGTGAAATTCGCTCACCGTAAGCACAGAATTTTCTGCTACGGTTAGCAGGGACTTTTTGCATACGGTAAGCAGAGACAAGAAATGGGCCCAGCTGTGTTACATGTGTAAAACAGAAAAGATACCATCCAGTCCCTTGTCAACTAAAAGCTATACCAATGAATAGTCACAATTCAAGGCATTCCTTTGTTTGTTGTGAATTAATTGGCGTGTGATGTGCTGGCGACCAATGTGTGATATTGCACTTGTGACCTTCGGCAATCGATAGAGTACTGCATCCATACTACTTGTACCAAACTGCTGTCTTTTCTACCTGTCCGGACCCCGTACTTCAGGAATTCATTTAGTTCTGAACTGTACCATTATTTTTATTGTTACTTAAAAACAGATGACTGTGGACCGCGTAACATCTCCGTCGACAAAGATCTCATTAACCTCAATTCACCGCGCTACCCAGACCGGTACCCGAATAACCACGACTGCATCTGGCTCATCAAAGGTCAATCGAAGCAACTTGTCACCATGCGGATCAAGGATTTCGAAATGGAGGAACCGTACGATTATTTGGATGTCGTTTTTCTTAGGAATGGGGAGGATCCCAAAGAGCTCTTCCGTCTTACGGGGGCGGATGTCTCGAGGCGGACGGTGACGTTGCGTCATGATGACGGAGTTCTCATGTTGGAAATGAAGACCGATCTAACCATCGAACGTCGCGGGTTCTCTATTCTGATAAATCACACTGAAGAAGAGGATTTGGAGGGTAAGTCTGGTACCCAGTGTCAAGGCCATTTTCAGTGCTTAGGCTGGTGGGGATTCTCCAGCCTCGACTCCATTGGCGCGTGTGCGTTCCTCCGTTCCTTCACTGATTGCGTAAGGCATGATGGGAAACAACATGGCGCAACAAGATCGGACCCACGGGGAACGAGGTTGGGGATTCTCCATTGCAATAATGCACAACCATACCTCTTTGACCCATATTCAATATCACTCTTTTTGTACAGTATGTGGAAGATATTGCAGTGAGTCCATCATCATAAATCTTGTACCCGTACCAAGTATCACAGCCATTCTCAGTGTGCAGTCTTGTGCGAATTTTTTGCAAAACCCCTTCTTTGTCTCTGATTTATGTTCCTTAGTTTTCATTTTCACATTAGAATAAAATTACTACATATATAAAATTCAACGTATTCAACTATATTACTTTTAAATGACAGCAATTGCATGCATTAATTGACAGAACCGTCCATATTTTGTTTTCTTTTATTTTACAATAATGGGCATTAGCACGTGCTCATAACATGAATTTTATTTGGGCTCACACTTAGTGCAACTTTCTACTCCTCTTGAATTTTTGAAAACTATTCGACATCAAATTTATTTAATTTTATTTTTGAAAGCACCTTTTTTTTACATTTCAAATTTTCCATGCTTTTCTTGACAAATATGGGCGCTGTTGCTGTGATGTCATTTCAGGAAGCCACTGCTCAGTTTAAAGATTTTCTGATAAAACATTGTGAACCCAACATTTGTTGAAAATCTTTGCCTATTATGTCATGTCCCTGAAACAGAAACAAACAAGCGGCAAAGAAAAACAATTATGACAGCAAAATATCCAAAATTGTGGCAAATCTGAAATAGCTGTAGCATAAGTTTATTATTCATGTGATTCTTGGTTTTTTTTTAGCATTGTGTCAACCTGATGAGTTCCATTGCGGCAAAGGCTTTTGTGTCACCAATTCTTCCCGCTGCAATGGTTACCTTGACTGCATAAATTACGAAGATGAACTTAATTGCGGTGGGTCTGTCATCTCAAAGTTTTCTTACTTATTTCCGGTAATGGAACCAACGATTCTTTAAGAGGGGTCCATAAAAAAAAGAAAAAACAGTTTTTTCCCTATAAAATATGTGTTTTAAAAATCTATTTTTTCCATTGTATTTCGTCAACCCCAAAAATAGGAAAAAATGAATAGTGAAAGAAATTGCTTTAAAAGAAATAGAGGTAAAATAGTGGTAAAGTAGGTTGCTATTTTTTAAGAATTGGATGCTATTATTTTTTTTAAATAGGAAACTTGTTTCCGAAAATGGCGTCTTCCCAAACAATGGTTGCGAGTTGTTATACGTACACGTTATGTACATGAAGTATTCTCATTCCCACAAAATAGAAAACAAAATAGTCTGTGGATCTTGTGAAATTTTTTCAGTCTCCAAAAAAAAATCGAAAAATAGCATACTGTTTAAAAAAAATTAAAAAATAATATAGGATGGCGACAAGAAAAATAGAAATAAAATAATGCATATGTACCTACTTATTCTGATGTAATAGGAATACAATCTATTTTTTACCTATTTTCTAGGAGAAAATAGGTCAAAAAATAGGTAAAGAAGCTATTGTAAACAGAAATAAAATAGAATTCTGTCAGAGAAATTCTACGAGGAATTTCACTGTAGCTCGCAAGCCTCAGATAACCCATTATAACATGTACTACATTGTATTTACTCCTTGGTAAACCCCTCAAAGCCATACAGTGCAGGGGTGGATTGGGGCGGTATAATGAGTAACATATAATAGCACTGGGACTAATGGTTTAAATGCGGGGGAATCCATACACATGTAGACTTGGGAC